GGTCACACACAGCCTTTATATAGGAAATCCTTGTTTACACCTTAGAGGCTACTTTTGTAATCCAAATTACCTGACAATTAGTCAAAAAGATTGTTTTGGTGATTAATAAGTCAGGATTAAATATGGGTTATATGTGGTCAAAAAGTAGGTCACGCAGCCCAAATAATACGGGATTTAACCTTCATAATCAGGTGAGCGATATAAGGGCCATCATGACCCTCTTTTTAAATTAGTTTGATATTTGTCTGCCAAAACTATTAATAATACTTTTAAATGTAACTCCTTGAAGATACTGTTTTCTTTTCCATGTCGAAATTTCTATTCGATAATTCGTCATTTAAAGATAATATTAATCAGCTTTAACGAAAGGCTAATGTTAAAGGAAATTGAATGCACGTGCACGTGTAAAAATTAAATATGTGTGTAACATCAATTTTTAAACTACACAGTAAAAGTATTGCATTGATGTTATATAATGATATGCATAAATTTGTTTAAACGATTTAAATTTTCATTTTAACGTCAGTTGAAGGTAACCTCTCTATGACTGAAAAAAAGGTACCCGAGAAAAAGTGCGTCGTTGGTTCTTCAATACCGAAAATGAATTGGTGTGATAGGACATTTGACTGCTTAGACTTGACGGATGAATTGTCATGTCAGAACAAAATTAAAGGTTTGCATTTCGTTTTCAATATATATATAACTTGATATTGTTGTTCTTTAGTTGAGTTTACATGGCGTATATGAAAATTGTGAAATTTATTTTTTGATCAAAAAAAGAAAACTTCAAAAAAGCCTTATGAAAAAAAACGTATTGTATTAAATGCTTAATATGACATCCATGACACTTTTTTATGATACTTATACGGTTTGGTCTTAATTTGAAAGTTGTGTTTATCGTCTACCGATAAAATGCGCGCTACTGTTCTTCCGCTGCAGTGAGACCCTTATCTGATAAAGCATAAGTTACTTAGTCAATAACTTCCGTCTTAAAAATAGATAGCCTCACCTGAAGTGATAATTTTCATTCTAACTGTAAGCATTTCAAGTAATAGATAAAGTTTCCAACATATTGCTTTGCGCTTATTAACCAACTGTTTTCAACGAAACCCGGGTTATTGTAATGCAGAAGTCGGCTATCGTCAACTTTGGTTTCCGCTCAATAATTTGAGTTTGCTTTGGCCTAATGACAGCAAACGTGATGTGTAGGTATCTTATATCAAGAGGCAGATTGGTATTGCTATCCAGGTGTCTGTGATTAAGGTCAAGGTCACTGTTACTAAAAAAGAAATTCAGTTTCTGCTCAATAACTTTATTTTGCTTAAGCCTATTGAGACCAAACTTGGTGTTTGTGTAGCTTATTTCATGTTGTAGCTTGGAATTGCTGTCCAGGTGTCTGTGATTAAAGTCAAGGTCACTGTTGCTAAAAATAGAAATTCGTGTTTTGCTCAATATCTTTAGTTTTAGTTAAGGCCTTATGACACCAATCTTGGTATATGGGTAGCTTATATCAAGACGCAGCTTGCGAATTCAACCCAAATGTTTGTAATCAAGGTCAAGGTCACTGTTGCAAAAAATTGAAATTTAGTTTCCTCTGAATACCTTTAGTTTGCTAAGGTCTATTGACGCCAATCTTGGTGTATGGGTAGCTTATATCATGAGGCAGCTCGGGGCTGCCACCAAGAGGTGTTTGATCAAAGTCAAGGTCACTGTTGCTAAAATTATAAATTAAGTTCCCGCTCAATAACTTTAGTTTGCTCCGATCTATTGACACAAAACTTAGTGGGTAGCTTGTATCTAGACACTACTTGGGCGGGCGGGCGTCAACTGTTGCTGAAAATAGAAATTAGGTCTCCACATAATAACTTGAGTTTGCTGAGACCTATTGACACCAAATGTAGGATGTGGGTAGCTTATATCAACAGGCAACTTGGGATTGCTACCAAAGTTTATGTGAACAAGGTCCAGGTCACTGTTCCTTGAAAAAGAAATTATGTTTCTACGTAATAACTTTTGACCTTTTGACACCAAACTTTCTGTGTTGGAAGCTTATATTGAGATGCAGCTTTAGATTGCTACTTAGGTATATGGAAGCAAGGAAAAGATCACTTGTTTACAATATAATTGCCAGCTTCTTCTCAATATTTTCAGTACACTTTGACTTCGATACCTAACTTGGCATGTATGTAGCTTACATGAAAATACAGTCTACCAATGATACTCAAGTATCTGTTATATTTTTATTTTTAAATAGGGAAAACAATTTTCTGTGTTGGTACAAAAAATAACATATTTCTTTCTTCACTGCCATATTTCATTCCTAATTCCTGTCACATCAATAAAAACCTGCCTTTCAATGCATTGCGGGGCTTCTTGTTAATTGCATAAGCTGATATACTTGACACTTCTTTCATAATTTTGCTTTCAGAATTTTTTCAGATAATGTTATATTTAGTTCCCTTCAACACTTAAATTTTGAAACAATTTTTTCCAATAGGCTAGTCCACTTTTGCGATCAAATCTTCCGTATGACGTCACTTGTAGTTGTCTGAATATACCCTCTGATTGTCGACAAAATCGCATTGTATTGTAACCCTATTTGGTAGCAAATAAATCTTATAGAGACCAGAAAATGCTTTGTAATAAAAAACAACTAGACCAATAATTTGTATGAAGATAAATAAGTGGTTTAATATACATTTTCAAAACTTGATAATTAGCACGTTTACAAATGGGCAAAATTTGATCAGCATTAGCTTTTCGTTTACAATATATTCAAAATATTAGCCATTTTCTAGTTATTATATTTTATTGTTTGCTATATAAAGCACTTGTGATAAACATTGTTTACCTTATTTTGCTAAACAGTCACTTTTTGAAGAAATTGTATGTAAACAAAGTATTATACCAATCCATTTAGTATCAAAATATCTTTAAAATTACATCATAAACATGCCGAGGAAAAATAATAATCTTATTGCAATTGTTCCATTCTCCTACAAACTCCTCCTCCTTAGATAGATAGATAGATAGATTTATTTCGGCATAAAGGTAAACATGTTACATGATAAACAAACACAATATAGATTAAAACAATTTCAAATAAAAAAAATAAATAAATGAATAAATACTATATTATGTAAACCATGACATGTTCCCAAAACCAAGGATAACACAAAAAAGAGCAAGCTCTTATTTAATTGTGGTCCTTAGCATTTGGTGGCATGACATAGAGAGGTATTTCATAAAAGGAAAAAAATATCACAAGTTATAAAATAAATCACATTAATAAAGGATATCATTTAAAATCATCACAATTTAAGATGTAAGGTATTGTAAATAAAAAAGTCATTATCACATTAAGAAATAAGTATGTGCATAGTAAGAAAGGATTACATCTAAAAAAATATCACAGTTGTTATGAGTATGTAAGGAAAGAACATGCCATAGATTACACTATTCAAAAAAAGATAAAGTTTTTAAAGTCTTAAAAAAAAAATTTAAAACAAATATCAAAAAATGAAACAGTAAACCTGAGCCGAAAAATAATTCATTAAAAAAAATGAAAACATAAAATTTTCTTGCAAGAAATTTTAAGAAATACACTTAAATGCTACTTAAAAAGTGACTTTTGATGGCTCCTTAAAATGATGAAATTTGTTAATTTCAGTTACGCTAGTTGGAAGACTGTGCCATAGTTTAGCACCAATAAAACTGAAAGACTTTGACCCGGAACCTTTAACCTTAGAAAGACAATACCCTCCTTTTCTGCTCAGTCTGGCGCAATAAGAACTCATAGATTCCTGAGAAACAAAATAATCACTTAAGTACTCTGGTAACCAGTTGGTTAATTATCCGAAGGTGACCTTTTACAGCATTTGTGTAAATGGTCCATTGCCTGATGCAGAATACGAAAAGAAAAGCTAGAGCTAAAAAGCTAAAAAGTTAAATCTTTAATAATTTTCTCCAAAACACAATTCATATAGCTTAGTAACTACTAGGAAACGTCGTCTTAAAAACGTTCAAACTGTAGAGAGCCGAAAAAGTCAGATGAGTGATATTTGGGGTATCATGAATCGGTAATTGATTTTCTTGATTTTTCTGTTTAAAGATCACAATCTCACGATAATTGGCAAACCAATGATGCAATCTTATTTACCTAAACGACTTATTCGCGAGGCATATTTCACCTGTGAACATAGCAAAGAGTGGATATCTACCTTAGCTAAATGTGATAACGTCATAGATTGTCTCGATGCTTCAGATGAAGTCAATTGTTCTCACGATAAAATTGGTATTTTGTCTTTTGACTTTACATTTTTCCATTAAATTTCCAGTTAACTTTCTGAATTTTGCAAACGAATAGTTTGTTTATGCCATGTTACTTTTACGCACAAACTTGAAATAAATAAATAAGTCTAAAAACAGATAATTGGTAGACAGGTGCTTTGTAGTTAAGCTGTTTTGTTGTATGCTATCTTTTAAACAGAGTTAATGATTTAATTTTTTTTCGATATAAACTATATTTATAAATATAATAAATATAATTGTTTGACTGTGTTTGACTTTACGGAGTTTTTTTACTTTCTAGTATTTAAGTAGTGACTTGGTGTTTATTTCTTTATTTACACTACCTCTGTTTTGTAAGGAATATTAAACAATTATGAAGTTAAAGATGTCCGCTTATAAAAAGAAATGCACTGCTATCAGAGGATGACATGGTAATGTGTACATTTATTTATTCTTCATATGAATTATGTTGTACTATTACTATATTATCTATTAATACTATATATTAATTAGGATGTGATGACAACGAATTCTCTTGTGATGGTGGACATTGTATTAAATTAAGTAACGTGTGCGATTTTATATCTAACTGTGCGGACGGTACAGATGAAATATGTGGTAATTAGTAAACATATAATTCAGAAAAATAATATTTTAAAATATTTTTTTACGTTGGCGTCCGATCGTAAACCGTTCATTTTACTTTTTCTAAATCATTCAAGCAAGCATATAACAAACTTCTAGAGACACAGTAAATGGTTTTTATATTCGAAATACGTATGTATATAATATATATTGTTAAGGTTATTGATATAATTGTTTAAAACACAAATGCTATATGATGAACATCATGATAACGTACGTTATGAAACAATCAAAATGATATTTGGGATACGCGAAAACTAACATTTCTTACACGGGTACGTCAACTATAATAATTTTAAGAAACAAATTGTGAAAGCATAAACCGTTCGAGAAAAACGTAGTGAAATATTATTTCATGTAAAGGTTAAAAACCAAATTTTATATTTGTAACTAATTAACGAGTACATGTCATGTACAGATTTCAAAACTTTATTTGATTCTTGCATGTTTTACTTTTACTCATATTGATCGTCTTATAAACATTTGTAGAATACCAAAACTGTGATAAAGATGAATTTCCTTGTGATAATAAACAGTGCATTCCATCAGAAAAACACTGTAATGCTATACCTGACTGTTTCGATTATAGCGATGAAGAAAACTGTGGTTGGTATACAATATTTTATAACTATACTAATTAACCCAAAGATATCTTTTACACATCTTTGAATAAAATGTTTTGTTTTTATTGCAGAAATTTATTGAAATCTATAGAATTCCTACATAAGCTGTCTTATTAAAATAAAAGAATGTATTAACTGTATTAGCTGTGCATTGAAATCTGCATTTGTTACTTCGAATAAAGCTAGTTCTTCTATTATACAAATTGCCAGATTTTAAATGACACTATGATGTTGTAGTGTGTCCACTTACAGTGTGTATGACTTACACCGTTAAATATCTACTTTGTGTGAAGTCAATACAGGATTGTTTTATAATCATTAACAAATACCGCGCAGCAATAACCAATATTTTCAATTATCAATTTGAGCATAGTACTCTCATTGAAATACAATATTTAATTGATAGTGTTTACCAACATCAATTACAATTGACAGCGAATAATTAAGAACAACTTACCTGACTTAATTTCAATTAAACTGATAAATAAAATCAAAAATATTGTGTGACGAAATATGTCATGAAACATCATGTTCAGGATGTGAACAGAGTAAAATGGAAAAAGATAACACCGACAAAATATCTAATTAATTCAATTTTTTAAATATTTACAAAACCGTTATTCTAATTGATCATTCCTGTAAATCATACGTATGTTAAACACTATTTGTACTAGTTTGTTCATAACAAAGGTAATGGTTGTTTAAATTTATATGATCCGTTTAGACACGAACGGGCACCTGAGTAGGACCACCGATGTTCCGTAAACTAGCTAGAAGCTTACTCACATGAAATAATCCAAAGTCCCTGTCGGGATGATTCGAACCCATAGAGGTGCGGGGCAAAAACAGTTGATGCAAATCAAAGTATGAAGAAGCAGCAAACATAATGTTTACTTACTTATATTTTGTTTCATAGTCAAAATGCATTGAAATTCTTCATTTAAATACATGTTTTATAATATAAGTTACGAATACGATTATTACAAAAATGTGAATATTTTGTTAAATCAAAGTTCATAAACACATGTTATCTTTCCATTAAAGAGTCCTGCACAGATTCAGTTTTGTGTTCTAGTGATAACAAATGTATTCCTCTTCGTCTGAAGTGTGATCAATACCCTGACTGTACGGACAGCAGTGATGAATTTGCTTGCCATTCAGACATTCCAACATCTGCCGATTTTAGCGATGAATATATTTCTCTGACAAGATGGAAAGGTGAGCAAATTTCTTATGTCAAGTTATTGCATTCTCAAAGTTTTGAGTTATTATGAGAAACTGTTTAAAGCAAAGATGACAATAGCATTAGTGAACTTTACGAGCTACATATGTCCTTTCAAATACAATTTTGATAACTTAACCTTCCTTTCTGTCCCTTTTCTACATCACGCATTGTATGGTGCATGTATTGTTATTCATCCTTCTATTGATTGACCTTCCTTCTAATATCTTTTAAACTGAAAATTGTTTTTACTCGGTTGCGAAGCAATCGATTCTTAAATTATTTCGAATAAGACGCATGATTTACTTAAGAATACACCATTTTTTGTACTTTTGTGTCCTAAATAAAAACAAAAGTAAATGTAAACAATCACGTAAGCTTAACACTTCGTGACCCAGTTTAATTTATTGCTTTATTCTAAAATATCTTTATTTACAATTTCTTTGAATGGACAAACAATGTTTTCTTATCTCTGTATATAAATAAGGGACTACATTATTGTCTGCTTTCATGTAATTGGGTAGTTTACCGGAACAAAATATCATGGAATCAGGTTTAAATTAGCTTGTGCCTCCATCTAAATGAGCACTGTTTTGCATCAATTTTAACAAAACGCATCGATGTAAGTGTTCTTGCACTGCATTGTCATGAAACGTCTTTAGTGAAATTAATTATCTACTTTAGAAACTAGAAAAAGTTCGTTTTGGAAAAAAAATCATATCTTATTTTAAAGTTTCTTTAATAGCAACTTTTATATATTGTTGATAAGGCATGAAAGTCGATAAACCTGTTACAAATCTGACGAAAATTAAAAGCGCACGTGTAACCTCGTTATACTTGACCAATAGATAAACCATGTTTATTTACGGATTAGTAAATCATTTTCATCATTATTAAATGATAATTAGGCAAACTACTCTGCCTGTTTCCCGCATACAGCATAAAACCATATAATAATAATGACACATTTAAAGCCCTTGTGACCTAGACCTTTGAACTAGTGACCCAAAATCAATAGGGGTCATCTACTATCTATGAACAATCACCGTATGAAATATGACGACTTTGTGATGAATACTTTTCAAGATTAGCAGAAACCATTTTAACATTTAAGGCCCCTGTGACCTTGACCTTTGACATAATGATTTCAAATTGAAAAGGGATCATTTACTAGTTGTTACCAATCATCATGTGAAATATGACGGCTTTGTGATGAATACTTCTAAGATAGACAACTGAAACAATTTTAACATTTAAGGCCCTTGTGACCTTGACCTTTTATCTAGTGACCCCAACATCAACAGGGATCATCTACTAGTTGTTACCAATCATCATGTGAAATATGATGACTTTGTGATGAATACTTTTCAAGATAATCAGGGGAAACAATGTGGTCTACTGACGAAAAGACCGACAGACAAACAGACCGTCAGACTGACAGTAGCAAAACAATATACATGTACCCACTCTTCTTCTTATAATGTATTATTTGTACTCATGTCTTTATGTTTGCGTTCGTAACTACAAGTAAAGCTGGTTTTTTCTTTCGTTAAAATCTGCCAGAATTTAAATGACACTATATTGCTATTTTGTGTACACTTACAGTGTGTAGGACTTAAAACGCGACATATCTTCTGTGTTTGAAGTCAAAACAGGCTTGTTTTATATTTATAAAAAATACCTCGTAGATATAACCAATATTTTCAATTATCTATTTGACTATAGTACATCGTCAGGAAATACGATATTTATTTTATAATATATACAAACATAATTACAAATCAAGCCGAATTATTGTGAACGACTTACCTGACTAAATTTCAATTAAACTAATAAAAGAACTTTCATCACACTTTCAAAAATATTGAGAAAAGAAATATGGCATAAAACATCATGTTCAGGATGTGGAAAAATAATGGTAAGAAATAACGCCAATACAATATGCAATAAATGTGAAAATATTCACATAGCCATTACCTTAATTAATCATTCCTGCAAATCATACGTATATTAATCGCTATTTGTACTGGTTTGCTAATAAAAAAAGGTTAGAATTGTTAAGAATTATAGGATCCGTTCTTCTTTAGGAAGAGGAAGAGCCCAGGTGCCCTTCATTGCATTATTTAAGACACGAACGAGCACCTGAGTAGAACCACCGACGTTCCGTAAGCTAGCTAGAAAGCTTATCATATGAAATAATCCAAAGTCCCTGTCGGGATGATTCGAACCCATAGCGGTGAGGGGCAAGAAGTGTTGTTGCAAAACTAAAATTTGAAGAAGCAGGAATCGTCATGTTACTGTTACAAATATTTTGTTTCATAGTCAAATTACATTAAAACCCTTCATTTAAATACGAAAACGTTGAATATACAATGTAATATTAAATCAAGGTTCATAAAATTTCACAATTACTCTTAACCTCAACATCATGCTGGTAGTCAAATGTCACACTGTTTAAACTATGGAGTCTGTCCAAGAATCAAAGTCTTGGCCCTACTGTAGCTGTACGGTTGAGTCATGAGGTACATTTCACACTTTCTCTCCTAAAAATAAGCACTTCCCTATCGAAACATTTAATCAATCAGTAGTTTATAAAGAATTAAAAGACTGTTCAAAAAAAAATTTAAAAGAAAAAAAAATATTGAAATCAGCAAAGATAAAAACTGCATTAAGTTATCTGGCAAATTTAATAGACATTCACAATAGTGTTTCTGTTTTTTGTTTTGTTTTTGTTTTTTTTCTACTTCAGCACCCTGATTTTAAATGCAGCGGTCCACTTTTTTAAGATTTTACTCTTCTCTTTCAAATGCTGTTACTGTACCGACAGAGACATGGATAATGACAATGTTTTAATTAAACCATTTTTTTTTAAAAAAAGAGATAAATAAAGCCAAATATTTGTTTAAGAATCCTATTCCTATGCATTGTATGCCTTAGTAATTGTAATTGGCACTTCTATGGATTGCTCTTCTTTCTAATATTCATCAAACTGAATTTTTTTATCTCGTTGTTAAGTGATCGATTCTTAAATGATTTTGAATTAAACGCATAATTCCCTTAGTAATGACACAATTTATTTTTTTAAATTTTAGTCCAGAATAAAAAAAACAAAACATGAACGTACATCGGTTTAACACTACGTTACCCATTTTAGATTTATGTTGTGTTGCAAAATATTCTTTCTTTTCCATTTTTGTTTAAATGGAAAAAACGTTTTCTTATCTTTGTATATAAATAATGGACTATACAACTGTCTGTTAACCGGAAAAACAAAAACAACATGGAACCAGGCTATAATAAACTCAACTCGTGTCTCCATCTTAAGGGGCACTGTTTTCAATTGAACAAAGCGCATCGGTGCAATGTGCCGTTGCACTTCTTTGTCATAAAATTCTTCCCTTTTTTAGCCTTTAGAATTTACAAAAAATCCTTTTCTCAATCTTATCTTATTTTTTCTTTAAAGTTTATTAATTAGCCGATGTAATATTTTAATCGGGATTAAGAGTAACCTCATAAGAATTACCTCCTCCTTTTAAAAAATAAATTGGCACAAAGGATCACTATTATCAGACGATGTACAGAGCGCAAACATTGGGTTGCTACCCTAAATGTCAAGGTAACATTTAAATGTTCAAATGTTAAATCTACAACTCGTGTCCGCTCCATAACTTTTAAACTGCTGGAACATATGGCACAAGTAAACACCATTATGCGACGATGAGGAGAGCGCAATAATTTAGTTGTTACCTCATAGGTCAAGGTCACGCATTAAGGTTAAGTGCTAAAAGTCTTTATTCCGTGCCCGCTTACAACTTTTAAACCACTAAAAAACATAAATATACTTTGAAACAAGTGAGAACAATAATGAGACAATATGCAGAACTTACTAATTTGGTTGTTTTCTCCAAGATCAAGGTCACTCTTTAAGGCCAAGTGCTTATAATTCTACATTTCGTGTCTGCTTCATTGCATTTAAACCGCTGATGTTTTTTTAATTAGCTTTGAAGTAAGAACCATAATGAGTCGACATTGTGCATAGCACAATTATAATTTAGTTTTTTTTTTATCAAGGTAATGGTAACATTTAAAGGTAACGTGTTAAAAGTCTACATTTTCCGTCCGCTCTATAACTGTTCAACCGCTATAAAAAATATTGAAATACCTTGACACAAGTGTGAACCATTATGAGACGATAAACAGGGTGCAATAAGTTTGCTGCTACATCCAAGGTCAAAGACACACTTTAAGGTTAAGTGTTAAAATGTCTGCTTTTCATTTGATTATTTAGATGATGGTGATGATAATGATGATGGTGATGATGATGATGATGATGATGATAATGATGATGATGAAAATGATGCAGACAAAATGATGATGATTATGATGATAATGATGATGAAATATGGTATTGTTATTAAATTAGATAGCTTTAAAACAAAATAGCGAGGAACATAATCCCTTCAGAAAGTCTCACAAAATTGAAAACATGCAGGCTGTTCATGGACGTTAATGCAAAGTGGAGGTTACCTTCCACGTCCCCAAACGACGACTGAAGTAGAATTCAAAATTTAACATGGACTGGTAAAATTTTGAATTTTCAAACATTAGCCTGAACGAGACCAAAATTGGCTTAATTTAATAAAATGACATTTACAAAGGGAGTAGAAGTTATAGAAATTGCATATCATAGATAAGCTGTCAAAAGACAAAGTTAGAAACATGCACTCATAAAAATTTCGTGGTAAACGATTTTCAAAGATCAAAAATACAACTTTGATAAACTATACGGGGGACACATTTTATAGCTGCCACACGGCACAAATTACACTGATAAGACAATAAAATAGAGAAAAACAGAGAGTTTAAAGAAAGTCCAACACTGCAACTTGAAAATTTTGCAAGCTTGGTTTTAGCCTGTTCATACACAAAATTGCAAAACAAAAGAATCTCTACAATATCCAATTTGTCAGGTCAACCGCATACTTTTCATGCATTTTATAAGTAAAAAAAGAAAACACTAAGCTTCTTAACTTTGAAATCAGTTTAAAACGTATCAATTCAATATAGTTTTCTATTTTTAAGTGTGTAAAAACGGTATTGAATTATCTAAAAATTTCGAGGCAAAAATAAACCAGCGACTATTATAATAATGGATCAAAGATACAATAAGATATTTTAGTTGGTCGTTTTAAACCTATCATTTTGTAAAAACAATTTAAAGCAATAATTTAATAAAAATCTTGAAACAAAGTGATCCCTCGGAAGCATTAATCACAACATAATTGAAAGAAGATTGCAGACTCGGTTTAATTGAGTCTGTACAAGAGGAAAAATGATTAAGTGTAACATCCCTAAAACCCTCTATCACCGGCTTCAGTGGTACTCAATTCTCAACACTTATTAGTGTTTGCATCAATGATCACCAAGGAAAAGGACAATATATCAACACTTAATTGAAGAACGGGGCAACTTTTTACAACTGCCAAACGGCACTTGACACTTGGCACGAAACATAAAAATCTGGAAACAAAGTGATCCCTCGGAAGCATTAATCGCAACATGATTACATAAAATTGCAGATTCGGTTTGATTGAGTCTGTACATGAGGAATAATGAATAAGTTCAACATCCCTCATTCGTCCTATCACCGGCTTGAGCGGTTCTCAATTCTCAACATTTAATAGTGTTGGTATCAATGATCCTGAAGGGCAATAAAATAAAGCAACACTGAAGTTAAATACGGGCCAACTTTTTATAGCTGACCCCGCCTGCACTGGCTTATACGGTACTCAACTTTCAACACTTAAATCAAGTTTCTTTCAACTCTATGATATTTCGTTAAATGATTGTTAATAGTCTTTTTTCTATCACATTCTAAAGAATTACTTAAAAATAACCCAACACTTTTGAGTAAATTTTAGGTTTTTTTACTAGTTAGATACGTTACTGACAAACATTTACCTAACTTCATAGCCAATAAAAATTAAGCACGTCACAAATATGATCTAACTGGCCATTGATCTTCACGACAATACGAGTCCGTTCTCATTTACCTATGACCAAAAAATCCACTGTACTGTACAAATGTGATATATTTACTTAAAACCTAAATAAAAACCAAACGTTCCACATCAACCTCAATACATTTCTATAAAGAATAGAAAAAACTGTTTTTATAGTACCATTCAGTATGTTTTGAAACGTTTCTCACTAGCCTTTGGACTATAATTATTGTATCGGTCTTCATTTATTTATTTTTTATTCACACCTTTTGGAGAAGATTTGTATATATATTTGTAGCCGAATACGATTTCAAAAAATAAAAAATCATGAGTTGAAATAAGCAGGTCGCATGTACAATATTTTCATCTAAATGAGCTTAACAAATGATTGCATTTAACTTTTAACGTTTTTAATGTCAGAGCCAGAGCATGTGTTATACATTGGAGTTGAGCGTATCATAACTGACAGAAACACACTACTTTGGTTGGATAATAGTTGAAATTAAGTTAAGTATATCCATCAGTTTTAACTAAGGAGAAATCATACCCGAGTACAAAATAATATTAAGAAATATAATTTCTTCTTTCAGATAATGGTATCAGTTTTGACTATCAACCAATAGGAAAGGAATCAGGAAGAATAGCTGTTTCATTTCGTGAATTAGTCTCGATTCATTACTTTCATTTGACGGGTTATTCGTGTTTTTTTCGGGTAATTTGAAGTTTGCATGAACTATAAATCTCCATTTTATCGCACGAACTGTGGTTTTGAAATCAGATGCTTGCATGATTGATATGACTTTCAACAGAACGAATCATTTCAATTTTGCCGGACAACATTGAGTATTTGATAACTGTTAAGATTTGATCCTCGTCTATGCACTTAGAACTGTTCATATTTGTACAATCGTTTTGCTTTTAATACCAAATGTCAACGTTATAGAAAAAAATAGTAAATACAAAAAACATCACAATTAAAATCACAATCTTAGTCTCTAATCACAATCCCGAATAAAATAATACTGTATTTGACATAAAGTCATATGTCCAACTGCAAACAATCAAAATACGTATGCAACGACTTGTTTATTATTGACAAGCTTTGAGTCCAATATAACATCATTCTCCTCCCTTTTTACTGCATTCATCGGAGATGTCACCAAAAGAAGTAACGGTTGTTCTTCAACGTTTTTTCTTCAAGTTCTGGCCACCGTTTATTTGCATCTGACAGTTTATTTATCGCAATATGTCTGTATTACTCGGAATAATTAGATACGCAAATATGTAAAATAAACTAGTCCCAAATAAAGTGTTGTTAATCCCTGTATTGAGTTTGTATTATAAGTTTGTGTTGATATAAATATAAACAAATAAATATTTTGATTGAACCCGATTAAACTCAGGTGACCTATTGCTATCCGTTTTTTGTCCGTCGCCGTGCGTTATGCGTTATCATTTTAACATTTTAAGCTTCTTCTCTGAAGCCACTGAATCAATTTATTTAATAAACACATTTTGGCAACAAATATTTTATGTATGAATGGGAAAAAAATTGTAAAATTCAAGATACCTGTCATTTGGGCTCTGATGTTTGGAGCTTAAATCATAAAAATTAATGCAGTCTTTAAAAATGTTCATTACTGCTGGACATCAAGCAGTCAAACTGTTAAAATGATTGTTATAAGCATTGAGCCTTCTGGAAAATTTTTGAAATTCATGACCCCAGGGTCAGGGATACTAGTGTTAGGGCGTAGCCCTCTTGAATATACAGTGAAAGTACATTATTTTTATAAAGATAAATATAAAAAATTTTTTTCTCTGCTCCTTGTTAATTAAAAATCACAGTAAATGCATATTTAATTATGAGATAGGGTGATTTTACCAAAATTGTGACTTCCACGGCCCCAGGGTTTCGAGGTTCTGAAGTCTGTTGTTGTTGATTTTTTGTTTGTTTGTTTATTGTTGTTGTTTGTTTGCTGGGAAACCTAATGATTCTGTAGTAAAAATACATAAAATTTTCTCCTCTGCTTCTGAATATGAGCAATTAGTTGTATGAGGAAGAGTTCCTTTTTCAAAACTTTGAAATCTAGGACCCCCTGTGTCTAAGTTCAGGTCACAGGATGGGGCTAGCTTGGCTGTATATTGTAAACAATATTTAAAAAAATGTGTTCTTTTATAACTTCATAATAATAAGGCAGTCAAGCCGTTCGCATATTTATACCCGACAAACAAAAATTAGGGGGTTATTTACATGATATAGGTCCATTCGTCGGTATGTCGGTCTCCTTCATGGTTTCCGGACGATGACTAAAATTTGGAATGTGACATTGTTATCAAACCGTCTGTATAGCAACCTTACGTAGAAACCCGGTTGATATTGCTTTTTGGATTCCCTGAGCATAAGGTCAAGGTCATTGTTACTTCAAATAGAAAAAATGATTTCTGGACAAGGACTTTTGTTAGGAATGAGATATTGTAACCAAATTTAGTATTTAGCAATCGTTTATGTAGATCTTCGTTTGTATTGCTTTGTATTCTGAGGGATCAAGATCAAGGTCACCGTTTTTTGAGGATAGAAAAATGGTTGTCGGACTTTAACCAGATTCAAAAATGAGATTTTATAATCAAACTTGGTATTTATTCAGCTCAAATAAAGGCCTGAGTTTGTTGTGTATTTGGACCTCCTGTGGTGAAGGTCAAGGTCACCGTTTCTGAAAAGAGAAAAATGATTTCAGGGTTATAACTAGATTTAAGCATGAAATATTGTAATCAAACTTGGCATTTATCAAGTTGATGTGAAGACCTAGGTTGATATTGCATTTGAGTCCTTTTGGGGTCAAGATCAAGATGACTGTAACTAAAATTATGGAAACAATTTCTTGACAATAACTAGAATAAAGAGTGTGATATTGTAATCGTACTTTGTATGTAGCAAGCTCAAACAAAGGCCTGACTTGGTATTGTATTCAGAACCCCTCTGGTCAAGATCCCCGCTAGTTGAAATGAAGACCTAGGTTGGTATTGCATTTGAATCCTTCAGGGGTCAATGTCAAGATGACTGTAACTAAAATTAGGGAAATAGTTTCTGGACAGTAGCTAGAATAAAGAACGTGATATTGTAATTATATTTTGTATTTAGCAAGCTCAAACAAAGGCTTGGCTAAGTAATGCATTCAGAACCCCTCTGGACAAGATCCCCGCTCCTAAAAATAGGAAAGAAATGACTTTCAGACAATAACAAGAGTAAAAGCTATGAATGAGATATTGTAATTTAACTCGGTACAGGGCCTATATGAATACCAATGATTTTTTTTATTTATTCTTGTTTTTGTTTTTTTTTGCATTTGGATCCCTCTTGGGTGTAGGTCACCGTTACTTTAAAAAAATCCTGATTGTAACTACATTTTTAAGGTTGAGAAATTGCAATAAACTTGGTATTAAGCAAGGCTATATGAAGAACCCCGGCTTGATTTGCTTTTGTTCCCAAAGGTATCAAATGTCACTGTTACTTTTAATAGAATAATGATTTTTGGAGGATAACATTAAGTAAATATTATTTTTACACAGTGGATAAGTTAAGAATTATAGTTTGAGTTCAAATAATGCTTCAGAACACTTCTATATCATTTCTAAATCATTTAAGAATGCATGACCTTTGGTTTACGGTTTAGACCCTAGGAAGAGAATATCAGTTGCACAATATAATATTATACGTAACATTATATAAAGACAATGTATTGAAATGAAAATGTTTAAGTGATGTTCATTTTTTAAAAATTTATTAAAGCTATTTACGCAAAAAATGAAAACAAACAATTAATTCACATAAGCTTTGGTATAAATTCAAAGTGACCTTTAAGGCCCATGGACTTCTTGTTCAAATAGTAGCACATTTTGTGTTACTTTTATCTTTCCTGAAAGCAATTATGTTTAAACTTTTATACGCTTTATGAATTCAAAATGTGTATAAATAAGGACTGTTTATAAGCATTTAATTATATGTGGCGTGATATATTTTTTAAAAAACAATAACACTTTTTTAAGAATTAGCTGTTGATATTTTTTGTTGTTTTTTGTAATATATATTTGATTATCTATTTTTTTTTCTCCAACAACTATTTATAAGATGTAATAAAACTTCGGTATGCGCATTGCGTACTTATTCTTAGACTAACGCAATATTATTCCTATCACAACTGAATTGATGAAAATAAAGAAACATGTAAAAAATGTTTATATGAATTAAAGATCATTTTTAAAGTAATATGTTTGTTTCAGGAAAAAACATATTGTCAACTTAAATTCCGTGAAGCGGCAGTTGTTGACAATTTTAATGACAACTTTGCATATCCGTTTTGTAACTGCACAGAAGAAAAATCCGGGTAAGTGATCAAATGAACTTACCCATAAAAATGTTTTATCAATATTAGATCAAATATGCGTATTATAAATATGTTTTCATCTCTTATGTTTGACAGAAACTACATTTTTTGTTAAAACAGAAATACATTTTATATTCTTTAAATTTGACAAGCATGTCACTTTGATATTGAAAATAATATGGTTACAAAGTAAAAGATATACAAAGCTCATAGTTAACTGTAATTGTATAAATTTATTGAAATTTAGGAACTTCATATTTTAATGAGTGTTATTCGATTAAAATCTTTACCGATATAAAATCTTTTTCTTGGGATCTGCATTCCCAATTACTCTTCAAGTTGAGCTGGTCCCTCCTTTCAAAGACTGACAGTATAATACATTCATGTAATGTTAACCTTAAGTGTTTCGATTCTCAAATTCAAATGCCATGTGAAAAAGGGTAATAATATGTATAGCAATTCCCAGATATTTCAAATACATACATTGATTATAGAATATCTTTAATGTATATAATATTTTTGAAATGCAGCACATTTTTAACTTACATTGAGTTTAATAATTTATTTATAGTTCATAGTAAAAAATATTACTGTACGTTCTTCTTTTTCAACAAATTATATTTTGTGGCCACAAAATACACGACAAAACAATAATAAAGTAAATAAGCATAATAATTGAAAAGCATAAGTCAAAATTTATAATTCAAATACCACAAAGTGAATAAACAAAATAATCCAAAAACTATACAGTGTATATTGAATGACAGAAACAGTCTGTTCCGTCACACTGATTCATCGAATGTAAATTCTAAAGTTTATATGAAGTAAAGATTTCTTGGCCGACAAAAAATAGGACGTAAAACGTATAATTTATGTAGAATGATATTGTAACAATCAAAATTCCATATATAGATTTGTTAAGGGGACAATATGCGATGGAACTGAAATTGACTGGAACATAAACCCAGGGTTAATTGGCACCCATGACAAGATACATGCCAACATCTCACAGTTTTACGAGCAATTGCGCTTGCGTCATTTCGAGACAAGACGCTTAATGGTGTCCACAATTACTCCTTATTGCACGTACGGTATGGAAGTTAAAAAAATAGTTGCATGTTTCACAGACTTATAATTCTGACTCAATTAAAGACATTCTATAACTTAATATATTTCGTTCCAGAATAAAATTCAAACATAATTACAAACCTACAAAAAAAGCTGTACCATAAATTACCAAAATTCATTCGATTATTATATCGTATTTTGTTCAATTGTTAACACTCAAACTATCGTACTATACAAATAAAATTCTTTATACAACAACTATGTTACAATTGTTTCTAGATTATGTTGTTTTAAATTAACTTGTTAAATATGCTTATTAGTTATTAAGAATGATTTTTTAAGAATACAATGTGACCGAATTTGGTGAGTTCTTTCATTGTAAAAGAGACGACAAAGCCATACCAAAGTCGATGATGTGTATATATGCCGTTGATGCCAGCGGTTACATGACTGGATGCAGATCTGGAGATCATTTACAACATTGCGGTAAAGAATATAATTATTCTAGTTATTAGTTTATTTTCTTTAACTTGACATTTAACATATTAATATTTTACAGCAGATATATCGATTACTTCTTACTATTTGACAAGTAATATTATCAATTTGAATACATTCCTTTCATTAGACAAGAACATTTTAAAGGCTATGTTTTCATTAATTTATTTTATTGTGTTCAAATTTTATCAAAATGATGATAATACTATAATTATCATAGTTGAAGGATTTGTTGTCAAAAAATACTTTCCTTAGTAAGTCATAAATGCATGAGTATTACATATTTGCATGCACATTTTGAAATGATAATAGACAAAAAAACAAAATGTAGGATTTTTGTGCATACATCAGCTTAATACTTCCATTTCAAACTTTTCTTGTGTTGTAAAACTTTTTTTTTTACATTTGTGTCGTGTCGAAAGACAATTTTTTCTTATCTTCATATGAAAATAATGAACAATGCAACTTTCAGATTTCATGTAATGAGAGTAGGTAACAGAGAACTGGGCTCAAGTTAAATTCTGCATAAAAATCTATTTTTTTATTTAAAGGGGCACTTTCGTGTATGTAACAGCTATGCTATTTATGTAAGAGCTATGCATTGTCATAAAAAAACATCCTTATTTTCCTATCTATCCATCCATTACTTTAAGAAATTAGGAAACAAGTTCGTTTTGAAGAATTATGTTATAAAGTTCTGTATTATTTTTTTGATGATTGGGATAGTGTGACCTCGCTTTACTTCGCTGGAAATAATCTGTGTGTATTAATGAATAAACTTCTTTTAGTATTACATATCACTGTAATTATTAAAAAAGTAATATGGCAGACAATTTTGCCTATTTATCCTCGGAAACTTAACCTCGCCAGATCACAGGACACGCTTAGAAAATGCAACATAAACATTTTGTGTTCTATGATCGTTCTTCAATTTTCCACTTGAACGTAGAGAATGTTTTTTTTTATAATTTTCCTGAAAAATTCACAACTGCGCAGGTCTAAACAGGTGTTGTCATTTCGGCTCTTCTCTCGGTATATAGTACATAGCTGTGTTGTAACTTCTTTTTCTTTCTTTTGGCAGATGTTTACCTAACTTGTAAATCCTGAACCTTAATTAAATAATTTAAGATATATACTATTTCAATATGAAATATAAGAAGGATAGTAAGCGAATGAGCAGTTTGACAGCCAGTACATTTTCATACAGTCTGTCAGTATGGTAATTGTTTTATTAGTTTACAGAAACATTCCACTAGGAGATTATAGAAGTTTACTCATATTTCAAAATCGCTGTTTTAAAAAAAGAACAGTTGAAGGAAATCGAAATATCGATTAAGGTAGACCAATCCTTATGCATAACCTCCACTTTGAAAAGTATTCAAATAGGCTATAATCACTGTCAACTGCATTGAAATTGAGGTTTTCAAGCCCAAGAAAGGGCACTGTTTTCTTTCTTTCTTTTTTCTTTTTAACATTATGTATCTCTCAGATTCCTTATGGAAAGAAAAAGGGTTGGATTTTAATTATATAATTATTGTAGGTATTTATTTGCTAAATAATACCAAATATAATAGCAAATGATATACCAGATATTTGCAAAGTTTAATAAAATAAAATCAACACGGTTAAAGTATTTTATATTTTACAAGATCAACCATTAAACGTTTAAAAGATCAGGGCAAATTTTAAAATTAGCCCCTCATTGTGGTAAATTTTAAGGATATTTTAATAAGGCTTTTTACATAAGGAAATGTTCAAATAAAATGCTTAAAGTGGAAAGGATGGATAATATTTTCATATAATGATGCAATCATTTTGCTCATGTCATTTTTATCTGAATGATATTAATTCTTTATTAACAATGAGCAATAGGAAAACAAATTTCTTTATGTTTATATTATAGATTATTAAGAGTTTCCTCATTTCAGGAAAAGAGCATTTTTAAATTCAAAGTTCAAAATAATGTCAATAACTTATTATAAGCCACAAGGTAAAATTTGTTTCAATTTTGCATGCATAAGGCAAATAACTTTAAGGCATATAACTGTCCTATTGTGTCAACGTTATGATTCTTTATAGGTGTTTTTTCTTAAAAGCATTCAGATTTTAATATTTTTGCTTGAAAAAAAATATTTTAGAAGAAAAAACAACAAGAAATTCTTTATCCAGGCAATTCATAGTATAACGTAACAGTATGATAAAGAATATCCACCTCCGAGATCGAATTTATTCGGTTTTAACATTCCTCGTTGTTTGGGGCGATAATAAGATATAATATGATTGTTTTACATTATTAAGTTCTATTGGACTAGTACACAGCTTTGAAAATTATATTGGATGGGAACTAACAGAGTCTGATACAGGTTTTGCAGTACAACTGCAATAGAATCAATTGATCTGTACAATATATAATTACACAATTATTTCACACCATCAATTTTTTAACATTTTAACAAATTTGTGTTCCTTCAACTGCAATAAGAATTTAATATGATTTTATTCACTCTAAAATGATCATGATGCTTGATGAAGAGTTTGTTTTGAACTCTTAAATTCAAACGAGGCTATATGGGTATGATATGCATTTAGATTTAATACAGTATGTTTGGACTCTTGAACATAAAACGAGATTCAGTTGATAAGATTTGACATAAGAATGATTGATATTAGAACATCACATGGTGCAAACGCTGACAGTTTATTGGTTACATTTTATGAGGTGTTACATAAATGATTTTTATTACATCATAAAACTATGTTGACTTAAAGTTAGGTTGAAAAAGATCAGAGCTATATCATCATTCACATTTACTATTTTGGATTACCGGCGTTCCGGAACCCGGCATTTTTCCATCACTTGTGTGACAATTAATTATCTTATCTATAATTAACTCATATTTTATTTTACTAATTTTTAATATGTGTTAACACAATCATTTATCAAATCAACATTTTACATGAAACAAAGCAATTCCTTTACTTGGACTGTTGGAGATTATTATAATATCTTAAAACTCTAAAAGAAATCATTGCAAGATTTCCTCATCTTGTTTAAATTTTAATTCAACACTGACATCTGCCAGAGAACGCCTTAAGGAAGTATCATCCGTAGACTATTCCATTCTATAACCAGTCCAGCCCTGACCCGAACCTGAACAACTTTTGAATAAAATCGCTTTACCGTGTCACAACTTGACAACTGTACCAGATGACCTAGACTACCTAGCACTACGACCTTTAAATGCTTATGATCTTCTTATACGAAATATGTGCTCTTTTCTTAGCAAACTACTTCCTTATTATCCTTTAGTGATAAATAGGCTTATACATTTCTTATAAAGTATCTGTCTATGTATTAATGTTTTAAGCAAATTATTAAAGATGACCTAAATGATAAATCCAAGGTATTAAAACTAAAAGACACCTGAAAGATACACACATAAAACGCTTCCAATTTATAAGAACGTTCCGTTATACGTATCGAATCTATAAACGTCATTTACAAGATAAAAGTTCTATAATATATCAAACGATATTCAGCATAGTAAATCAATTAAATTATCTAACAGAAAAATAAAATAAACAATATTTTTTTTACAATTCCATTCAAAGCAATTACAGTATTTATATCGGCAGTTATGTAAGTAACGCAGTAGCTTGAGCAAAAATTGAAGATTTTGGTAAACTTTCCTTCTTGAATTTGATGAGGTCATAACGATATTATTATTTAATATTTTTGATTCTAACATCTGGGAGCGTGCTGGATTCAAGGAAAGTTGCTATAAAGAAATGAAGTGGAAAGGACGCAAAACAAATTATGCAATTGGCGTATAAGTCTACAAACTCAATTTAACAAGTTATATAATCTCTATTGAAAAAAAACAACATATTGATCAGTTTTATCGGTTTTACGGTAAAGCTGTCAATACTTACTAGAAACAAGTAAATGTTTTTGCATCTGTTTTTAATATTGCTTTTTCAATTTAATATTCCATATAATAACGTTCATAATAAACACCATAATATTTCGATTTTGTGTTGATGTCAGATTCCTTTGGCTGAAAATATAAAAAAAATATTTTAAATGGATAATATTCATTATGTTGTAATATCTTTTTCCATAATCTAATAAAGAGAATTGAACAACGATTCTGTTGTGATTCAAACCAAGAATATTAATGAATTATTCATTTGAAAGAATCTATATCATACTGTAAAACATAAGCGGCTATAGCTACTTAAACCAAAAAAAAACTTACATGCTACAAGAGCTGCATAACCTGTGTTGGTACTGGTACTGCAGTACGAACTGCAGTGATTTTGCAATTATTGATACTGATGTTTCATTACTGTCTCAATTAGTGGTATTATAGAATATGCCATCAGTTTTTCTATTTGAGTTTACTATTAAAGAAAGAGCAAAAAGAAAGAGCAAGATTAACACTAATTGATTGCTACTATTCTAAATAATCCTAATTCAAGTGATATTGTTAGAACAATAAAAGTTGTTATTAAATTTGTAATAAATTTAACAAAGGTGAAAGTGTGTTTTAAAAAGAGATGATTGGTGACTGGTTTCTAAACCATAAGATATAATATGAATATATGGTGTATGTAAAAAGTATGTTAAACCATTAAAGTGTAATGTTAACTTTTACACTAAATAATAATAACATAATTTTTGCTTAATAATGTTTTGTGTTTTTTTTTTAATTTGAAGTGTACACTTGTGAAATGAAAATACTTGTTTAAAAGGTGTATAATTAAAATATGTAAATATACATGAGATATTATTTGTTTGACAGTTTGTATTTATTAAAAGTGCTGGTAATGATACCTAAACTTCCTTAAAACTGCAGTACCGAACGAAAATCTAGTACTGGTACCGGTAATGGTACTGCATATCTTGGCAATTACTGGTACTTAGGTACTAAACCGTAAGTCCTGAGACAGCTCTGCATGCTACATACCTTATGTCTGGAATTCTTTATTATTTTATTCTACTTCAACAAAGTAAAACAGTTACTTTTCAGTAATTCATCACTGAAGAATATGATATTAATTTTAATAATTCACAATGAATTGCTCAATATTGTCCGAGTCATTGGAAAAGCATTTGATTTTCAGAAAATTTCACTTGTCCAGCAAATACAGTCAAATGTCCAGGAAGTTATTGTATTGAACAACGATTTCTTTGTGACGGACATTCTGAATGTCCTGGAGGAGAAGATGAACAAGACTGTAGTAAGCTATTAAAATCTATAATTTGTTTAACTCATTCTTTTGATTTTTTTCTTCGTTTAATGAATGTCAGTTTAACAGTTTACTAGTCTTGGATTGTTATGTTAATAAAGGGACAATTATATATATATATATATAATTGTTACATTCTATCAGTAAGATTGTCGCTTACACAGACCGTCCCAATAACTATGTTTAATACAACAGAATCAGCTACAGTAAATGTTGCACTAAACAGGTAAATAGCCCATTGCCATAAATACATATCAGTCCATTGCTATACCTACAGATTGGTAAATTGTCACACAAACAGATTATTTCATTGTAAAACATACGTATTATCCCATTGTCATATCTACTGAGTATTCCATTGTCATATCTACAGATTATCCCATTACCATATCTATAGATTATCCCATTGCCATATATACAGATTGTCCCATTGTCATATGTACATAATATCCCATTGTCATATATGCAGACTATCCCATTTGCATACGTACAGAGAATCCAATTGTCATATCTACAGATTATTTCATTGTCACATATACAGATTATCCCATTGTGATATCTACAGATTATCACATTGTTATATCTACAGATTATCCCATTTTCATACCTACAGATTATCCGATTGTGATAAAAACAGATTATCTCATTGTTATATCTTCAGATTGTCTCATTGTCATATATAGAGATTATCGCATTGTCATAAATACACATTATACCATTACCATATCAACAAATTATTCCATTACTATATCTACAGATTATCACATTGTCAAACATACATTGTATCCCATTGTCATACCTACAGATTATCTCATTGCCATATCTACATACGAGGGTTGTTCAAAAAGTAATAGGACTGCAGCTCTACTGTTCACATTTTTAAATTTACGTACACAATTTTACATGAGACAAATATCGGAACATGTTCTTTATATACAGTGAAAAAATCAAAACAAAATGTAAACAAATGAAATTTCTGTGAAATTTTTAAATGACAAGGGGTACGAAACGCGGCGCACGCTAACAATACAATAATTGATTGTTCATGACGTCGTAAAATAAATCGAAATTGTAATAAGCGTCATTCTTTCTGAAAGTAGTCTCCCTAGTCTCTAGGTGTATAAGTCATGTAACTTTTACTTTGCCTCATATGTGGTTATGAAGCAAGACAAAATGCGACCACATTCTCGTTCCACTGTTTCAAAAAACAAAATAAAATAAATGCCCGATAGCCGGCCATTCTCAGGGTTTTCTCGTGTTTTTGAGTAACCTTGGAACTCAATAGGGCTGAAAATGCTAAAGCAAAAGCAATTTATTTTATTAATTTACCTATGTCATTGTATGTTTTTAAAACAATATGATTATATACATAACAATAAAGATATTCCTTAATTGAAAAGTATCTTTTTCTACTTAGCACAGTCTATCGTTTAGAAAAACAAGTTTTCGGGAAACACTACTAATTATTACCGTTAACTATTACATTAATTTATTGATTACACGTGTATCTAGTTAAATACAATAAAATAGTGTTGATAAATGTCTTTTTTACAATCCTTTGGTTAAAACTGAATAAGAAGACCCGAAGCAGATACAAACAACGATAAACAGTTCGCGTACCGTTTACCGTGGATTCTTTTGTAGCGCTTTTGCAATTGACGTCACTAACGTCCCGTCAATTTTCAACTTTCATCCTCGCCCTTTCTCGTTAGTGATCTTGTATTTGCAGTTTTTGAATTGCTTGTGCCAGCTGAAAACAAGTGTCCTGATGGCAGGATAATTGTCCTTTGTTTATTTAATCATTTTGTGTGTATCACAATGATTATAGTCAATCGTTGGCAAAATTTAACGATGGCACACATTTTCTGTTTGTTAACGAATGTCATATTTCTACATCTAACGCTATGACCGCTGCTGTTCAAAATTAAATAAATAGGCCATTTCATGTCCGAATGACGTCAAATTTGGACATAATGTCACATTAATATATTTTAACGTATTGATGGAACACAGGGGAAAACAAACAGTTATTTATGAATAAATTAGAAGTAGAACTTAACTCCAATAACTATATTTATGTGCTGCGCCGGGTGCGTGTTACCATGGTTATTCAATAGCAAAGGAAAAGCGCGTTTAGCACAATAGATTAAAACAAATATGTTTGATTTGTAGAAAACATTTTACGATTGCTGTACATATGAAAATATTCTAAATTGAATGAAATTTGAATACGCAAGACTCCCAGTCCTATTACTTTTTGAACAACCCTCGTATTATCTCATTGTCATATCTACAGTTTATCCAAGTGTCATATCTACATATTATCCCGTTGTCATATCTACATATTATCCCATTGTCACATCTACAGATTATCCCATTTTCATATCTACAGATTATCCCATTGTTTTATCTACAGATTTTCTCATTGTCATATATAGAGATTATCGCATTGTCATAAATACAGATTATCCCATTATCATATCAACAGATTATTCCATTGCAATATCTACAGATTATCACATTGTCATATCTATAGTTTATCCCATTGTCATATCTACATATAATCCTATAATTGTCATATCTACAGATTACCCCTTTGTTATATCCACAGATTATCCCATTTCATTCTACAGATTATCCCATTTATATATCAACAACTTATCCCATTGTCATATCTAAAGATTATTCCATTGTTTTATCTACAGATTATCTTATTGTCATATCTTCATATTATTCCATTGTCATAACTACATATTATCCAATTTATATATCTTACAGTAATAAAACTAACATATTAGTCCTTGGCCATGCAATTGTTCACCTTCACATTAGACCATTGTTATACCTGCTGAACAATCATTAATTTTATGTTTGGCAATGATATCGATCATTTCGTTTAGACTTGTCTCATGATATGTTCGTATATATATTTTTTTAATCTAATTCATAATTTTAAGTTATTTCATTGATATGATAAATTAATACACAAAGAATATTGAAAGAGTGTAGATTTAATACTAAATTTATTGGACTTGTAAAATAAAATCTTCATATGCGAGTCTCTGGCGAGAATTTAATTTTTTATTCAAGGAGTTCCATAAATTTCTTATTGAATCTTCACGACTTTAATATTCTTTTTATCACATAACCAAAATAAGATTGGTTTGCAGTTAAAATGTGTAATTTGTCATGGACGCGCCAAAAATGTAACGCTCACTAACTCTTTGTTTGAATTCAACGCAAATGACGTCACAAAAAAGGGTGATTACACAAGAGTTACATCGTTTTGATTACAACATGGCTTAATTAATCTCCTACGTTTCGGTTTATGTGACAATTTACTTTTGTTGGGATCTAAGTACTTTGTATTCTAAAATTGAAAACAAATGATGTAACAAGTAGTTTAGTTAAACATGCAAATTATATCATTTTAAAGTTCTAGACATTTTTAATAAAAGTTGGTATTCAACCTCTATATCTAGGGATAAGTGTTGGAAAAATGTTTCTGTTTTTCAATAATAATATAAATAAAACTTCTCCCTACGACCCCGCCACGCGAAAAGTCGTGAAATGACAGGTAGAAATGGTTTGGATGCGGAGCGAAAACACGCTAATTAGCGAGATGGACAAAGTTGTATTTATTTAATATAATATTGAATTCTGAAATCTCGATCTGCGCCACCGCGGGGCGAAGTTTTATTTAATTAACTGCGCCCAGCGTCCCCGCTTATAGGCGTGTTTTCGATCGCTATTTTAACTTGCTAGTCCTAGTCTTTTTGCATGACGGGGTCGCGGGCAAAAACATGAATGGCACCAATCAGCCACCATAGCAACGTCCAAATCCAGTCAGATCCTTTAGTCAGAACTGAAAAATCGGACCCCAGAAATATATCAAAGCCCCAAAACTTAAAGCTTAAAAAACACACCTTTAATCAGTGTTTTTCTTCAGTAATAACTAGAGAAATAGAATGAAATATAGAAATTACATCGTAAAGTGCTTTAAGTACTTAATTTTATAATGCTTTCTAGATTTTCTGAATTTTTTTATTAGAAAACGATGATAAAAGAGTGAATGACTTAACTTAATTAAGTAGTTCAGTGTTATTATTTACTTCTTCAAAAGATATAAAAAAAAATGCATTCTGTAATAATTCGGAAAATGAAAGAAATTGAAAGTGTTATTTTTTCTGAATAAAAAACAAATATTGTGGAAGTTATTTACTTACACCTGCACTATCTATAGATTATAAACAAATTATTTCATCACTTTTAAGTGAACTTTTAACAACATGTGTTTAAACAGATATATCCAGAAAGTTGGACTACAGGTATTGTGATACATGTACCATATGACCTAATTAAAGTTGCTTATTAAAGAGTTATTTGTTATATAGGTAGAGGTATTACTCCTACTAATATTTTCTTTCCAAAAATGATTTTAATAATTTTAAATAAAGCACTTATCGCAAAATAATTGTAAATAATTCAGTCGAATGACAATATGGTTTATGAAAGAAAAACACACTGTTGGTTGGATTTTTGTTTTAAAAACGTAATATCAGTAGGATATTATTGTGTTATGAAAAGATGAAATGTAAATAGGTTAATTGTTATTGTAGAATTTCAAAAGTCGTTTGACCCCGTATATAGATATAATATATGGCTTATGGTGCATCATAAAAAACTATTTTCTTAGGGTCTTGTATGAGCAGGTAAAATCATTTGTCAAAGAAAATGCAATGTAGCTGTTTATCTAATTATTTTGACATCATTTAGTATAAAGCAGGGAGAGCCCTTATCATTTCTATAATTTCTGTTGTTGTTGTTTTTGTTTATGCTATACGTAATCAGGCAGTAGCAATGCCGACGAATCACAGATATTTATATTGCTTTTTGCAAATGGTTTACAGCATTTGATGAACAAACTACAACACCACTGTGCCCGGTGGTGTATTATGGTTAATACATGAACAGTTGTAATGCTTTGCAAAAAAGGTAAAAAGAATGAACATGTGATTCTATAATACTTACAGATTGAACATTATTAAGCCATTTACATAATTAAGGGTTTCTTTGTTTTCAAATGGCACGTTTTATCTAACACATCAGTGATTGTTCACTTTATTCGAAAGATGTATGTAAAAGGCCTCTTCCCAATCGAAATGTTCTTTAAAATTTTATAGTTACCAATTTTGCAATCTAAGCAATAATTTTTACCCAAACTGAAGACGCTTAGTCTCCTTCCCAATTAAGTGAGAAATACCACAGCACAGAAAGTGCCATCAAAGAAGTCAGACAAACCGCTATATTCACTAAATGCCCTGTTTGATAAAGTACCAATGGATATCTCTGAAAGGATCTAATTGTTTAATGCTATGGTATTACCAATCTAAGAATTTGGCATTTGATGATTTCACAAATCTCCAGATTTATACATACATAAGTTTTAAAAGGAAATAATACATATCCGACATCACATGTAAATCGGATTGTTGATTGTGAGCTAGGATTATTTTCTTTGTATGTCTATAGAACAAATAAAAAATGAAATATTATTGAAAATTAACCATTATGTTTAATTTGATGTTGCTGTTGTTGTTTTTATTTTTTTGTTGTTTTTTTGGAAATGTAATGTTAATGGTATAACTATAAATAGATGGTCATTGGAAGTTAAAAAAAAATCTACGGCAATCAGATGATCCGTATTGATTTTTGGGTAACGAGGTTAATGATCAAAGGTCAATGTCATATTGATAATTTACAATAACACATTTAATCACCAATAGCACAGCAACCTTTGAGTCCTTTTACCTAAAACTTCTAAGGTATATTGGTCTTTGAAGTCAGAAAAACTTATTATTTGAGATTCAATTGGTCAAAACTCGAGATCACATTTACCTAGTCTATAAATACGGTTATTGATCAAATTGATCAAAGGTCAAGGTCACATTTCATTTATCTTGTATGTAAAACTCTTTCTAACAAATAACTAGACAATTTGCTGCTCTAACTTAAAATATGGCATAAGTCCGTCTTCATAAATTAGCAGGCGCATTTTTGCCAACCCTTCTCACAGATTGTTAAACAATTCATTATATTTGCATAAAGAGAGCAAATACAAACCTTAATTTACAGTCTACAATATGAAGTGATTAAAATAAATCGATTTGCTTGTTTCAATTGAAATTATAGATGCAGAAGGCAACAACTTAGATAATAATAATTAGAATAATTAAGTCAGGACAGATCGCAAAATATACGATACACAACTACATACATCATGTACATGTATGTTATATAATATTGAGATATTGAGTGTATATAGGAACTACGCGTTAAAACAAATGGATCTATTGGAACAAGAAATAGAAAATTTCAAAGCTTGTAGTTAGGGTCGTATTTTGGCAGCAAAAATAAGTCAAAAGTACAAAAAATGAAGTTTGTAATATATTGTCCGACCAGGGTGTAACAACTGACCCAATTTTTCGTGAATCTGTGTTAATTTCAAATGCCATCAGAAATTAAATAGAATATGTGATCTCAATTAGTATAATTGTTTACTATCTGCATATAAAATGTGACATTCTTAAGTTGTTGGTTTACCTTTATTTCTGTTTCATGAAATTTACTGTTGACGAGTTAATATCGGAGTTGAATTAGGTATTTAAGGTTTTTGATTTTATGCTTAATTTTAACATTGTGCATTAATCGATACGTTGTGGCTTGCGTATTATAAAAATAAATTGATCAGACTCTTCTGTTCTAGAAATCGTCGTACACAGTATCGGAAAAAATCAGCAAAATCAAATTATTTAAGTGTATGTGTAACTAGCTCACAGTCTTTGTTATGATATTTTTGTCAAATAGCAACATTGTTGATATTTAAACAGGGTTAAATGGCTGAAGGGGAAATTGTTTGATCAAGATTACAAAAAAATGCCCTAAATACAGTGCATTCTGTATTTAAATTTTAATTCTAATTTCAGCTTGTGGAGACTCGGATAGAGAAGTAATCTTATTTGTGGAAAATGATGACTCTGAGAGCAGGGAAGCAGCAACGCATTTAGCAAAACATTTTTTCGCAAACAGTGACAATAACATCGTCAGATTGTTTCTTTTTAAGATTCTTCATAGAGAAATGAAGTTTGACATAGATTACAGGTTATTGGAAATAAACGTAGAACGTGTAAAAGGAGAAAAGGAAACTGAGGAAACTGGATGCAAGTTGAAAACAATGGCAAGAGACTTTCTTAAAAAACTGCAGTTTTCCAAGCCGGAAAAAAGGGCGATTATTGTACTGGAAAACAGTATTGAATCATCAGTTGTCGCTAGCCTAGCATTGTCCAATATTTCAGAGCCATCGTTTTCAATATATCGGTTGATAAAAGATTTCAGTTCTTCACTTCATAAAGATAACAGATACAAACATGTAAAGGATATACACATTAGTAAATGGAGTTCTCTATTTTCGATTGGATTCAGACGATTTCCAGAAATATGTACAGGTAACAGCATTGTCAGCTTGACTCGTTTGCCTACACATATGAATATTACACCGTTTTAGATTTTGAAAAGTGTTGTTTTTTTCGTTGATTTTAAAGATTAGGAGGACACTTTTTCGTTGAATTGAAATATGGAATAAATTTTCACGAAACATAACCAAATGCCACATTTTTACGAGTCGAACATGAGTGAAAATATATACCATATTTCACGGAAAAAAAAGAAAAAAATACCGTTTTATTTAATGTCATCATCAATGAAAAGTGGTTACGAACCCCTTAACTTGCTACGCAACTGCAATTGTACAGCGCGCAGTAATATATTGATTGATGCATTCATAGATGTGTGACGCGGTTTCAATACACATAAAATGTTGTGTGTTAATTTTATTTCATTTTATATTTTTCAAGAAAAATAGAGAGTATTTATGGTGAAATAAATGTGAAATTTATGTAGTTTGCGGCATTGAAATAGCTGTCTTGCTTTGACTGTTCGAATTAAATATATTGGTGTTCGGATTTATTTTCATTGTTAGACCATTTTGTATCATTCTCGATAGTTTTTTTTTCAAAACTAAATTCAACAACAAAAATGTTTTTGATTTTTTATCAATCAGATTTTTCAAACAAAATAGACAAAGAAGTACCATAAAATAAATTTATATGAGTTTTGACTCCGTCCATTTTCATTTTATATTTCATATTTAGCTTTATCAAATGATTACATCGGTAATAACTGACCATATCATAAATTTAACAACTAAGGAAAACCAATAAACTATGATATAACCATGCTAACAGCATAAAGTAATTGATGACTATTTGTTTTAAAACTCATGTGTAAAAATATATTTTCTTCCATTTCAGAGGCTACAATCGTACCATGTGCTGGGAAGTACAGATGTTTGTCTAGTAAGCAATGTATACCATTTGAACAAGTATGTGATGATGTCATTCATTGCAGAAATGGTGATGATGAACGACTTTGTAATTCTGTATGTCCAGAGAAATGTAATTGTACGGGAGATGTTATCAATTGTCATGCAGCCAATATATCAATGTCTGACATTTCATCATTGACTGTACAGGCTAGAAGTCTTGATCTAAGTATAAATCCACAAGTTAAAAAAATACCTGAACAAAATTTAAATTTTCCTTACATGTTACGACTTAATATGTCATCATGTAGTATTCATTATATTGATGGAAGGGCCTTCTTTGACTTGAAACATTTGTTATCGTTAGATCTTAGCAACAATAGAATACAGGAAATATCTAACCTGGTATTTAGCAAACTTCGCTACCTAACATATTTGAATCTTGACAGAAATAAAGAATTAACAATGTTTTCACCGACTGCTTTTAAAGGTTTGAAATCAGTAAGAACCTTAAAAATTTCCGGCGCAAACCTAAAAAAGATCACTTCACTTTTATTCTCTGGCTTGCAGTTTGGCAGTATCGATATTTCTTACAGCAGAATTGAGGAAATTGAAGATTTTGCATTTAACAATACGGTAGTTCATAAAATTAACTTTGAAGGCAATAAAGTTATTAAATTCGGAGAATTTTTGTTCTACGGCGTCAGATCACTTCGGGAGCTTCATACACCTGCATTTAAATTCTGCTGTGTCCGACCTTGTTATATTCCTGAAGAACATTGCAAACCATTGAAGAATGAATTTTCTTCATGTGAAGACCTGGTGAGAAACTGTGTACTTCAAGCTGTTCTTTGGATAGTTGGGGTAGCTTCATTGCTCGGGAACCTATCGTCAATTATCTACCGTCTCGTGTACGATCGTGAAAGGCTAAAAATAGGTTATGGCATATTTGTAACTAACCTAGCAGTTGCAGATTTCCTGATGGGTGTTTACCTTATCATGATAGCAGTTGCTGATTTACTCTATAGAAACAGGTATTAATACAGGACTAACTCACTATACAAAAAAGTATTAATCTCGTATACTACCGTGAAAGGGTTAAAAATGTAATGGCATATTTGTAACTAACCCTGTTATTACAGAATTCCTAATAGGCGTTTACCTCATTATGATAGCAATTGCTAATTCACTCTAGAGCAACAGGTATTGATAAATGACCGGTTCATTATACAAAAACAGGTACTGATTTATAACTGTTTTCTCAGTAACAACTCAGTAACAAGTGCTTGCATATCAGAAAGATTATCTACTGTTCACAACGCTGCTAGAAAAATGTCATATACCCCAGGTTAGCCAATCTGCGTGTTTTATATGACGTCATTCTCATACACCTTTTATCAGTCAATTGCGTTCTAAGCATTACGTCATTGTGCTGAATAAATTAATCTATTGTTTACACCGGTGCTAGAAGAATCTGCCATACACCCCGTGTAAGTCAACCTGCGTATTTTATATGACGTCATTCCCACGCTCCTTTTATCAATAAATTGCATTATTAGCATAAAGTTATTGTGCTGATATGAATAAGTTTATTTATTTTTACACCGGTGCTTGAAAAATCTGCCATACACCCCGGGTAAGTCAACCTGCGTGTTTTATATGACGTCATTCTCACCCACCCCTTATAAATCAATTGTTTTCTTAGCACGAATCATTGTGCTGATGTGAATAAGTTTTAATTCATACATCGCTACCATTAGAAAAAAACGTGGCCGAGTGGTCAAACCACTTCAAACCACTTGCCTCCTCACTGCTGTACTTAGGTTTAAATCCCGAGAGGGACTCTGGAATATTTCATGCGAGGAAGCTATCAAGCTGGATTCGGAACGTCGGTGGTTCTACTTAGGTGCCCGTTCGTGCCTGAAATCCAGCAGTAAAGCTGGAACGTCGCCATATGACCTATACCTTGTCGCTGTAAAGTAAACCCAAATGAAACAAACAAAGAAAGTTAGAAAAAAGTGCTTAATGGAAATATTTGTTTTTACAATTTCTTTTCGAAATATTATTGATTTATAAGATGCAAGAAAATGAATTAAACATCGGCTGTCGTTACAAACGGGAATATCTAGTCCTCGGTGGAAAAATGCAAAGCCTCAAGCTAGATATTGCGGCATGTAACAGCAGTTGGTTAAGGCCCTTCGCTTTACAGAAACAGAAAATGACTGTTTCTCTGTTCAGAAACAACATTTTAACTGATTAAATTTAAAAACCAAAGTCAAATTAATTTTCTCTTAATAGCAACAGGTACTCAGTTCTAAATAGATATTAACAAAACTGCCGAGTCATGTTGCAGTGAACAGTTATTAATCATCCGTTATGATTTAGATACAATTTCTACAGATACACGAATTATAAACACCACACAAAAAAGATATGGTACTGGTACACTTTACCTTGGCTTCATAGTTGTAGTTGTAAATATTTTACGACTTAATAAAGCTATATGTTTCTTTACGCTATATTCATAACAATAAACTTTTATATCATTCATCACACTTGTAAACGAGTCAATATAAAAATATAAATTGTTCACACATAATTTGATCGAAGTATCTTTTTTTCAAAGAAGTATTTAAACAGTTAAATTAAGTCAATAATTCCGTAATTGTTAATTGCAAATGTACATTTATTTCTCACAAATTAGAATGGGATTACTTTAGTAGAATCTTATTCCATCATGCCAAAGGAAAGAGGTATTAATAAAAAATAAGATATTTATTTACATTAAAAGACGACGAACCTGTTGGTACATAAAAAAAACAACAACTCATTCTTAAATTTAAATAATTTATTCCCATTTTTTGCAGATATATTTATGTAGACGATCAATGGAGAAACAGTAATTGGTGTATTACTGCCGGAGTTTTGTCTACAATTTCATCTGAAGCCAGCATCCTCTTTCTTTGCTTGATAACATTAGATAGACTTTTAGTGATCAAGTTTCCGTTAGGTACAGTGAGGTTTGGACCTATGAAGGCCTATGTCTCTTGTGGATTGTGCTGGTTCATTTCAATCATCCTATCGGTCATTCCAATTCTTTACACAAGTCACTTCCAAAACAAATTTTACTCTAGAACAGGAGTTTGTATTGCATTGCCTTTAACACGAGATAAACCTCCAGGATGGATTTATTCTGTGTCAATCTTTGTCGGCCTGAATTTTTGTACTTTCATTCTTGTTGCTGTAGGACAAATCTCAATATTCACAGAACTTCGAAAATCAACATCAGCTATGAAGAAGACACAAATATCAAGAAGACGTGACTT